ACCATTCCTACCCCTTCCTATTTATAATCCAAGGAGGCAGGAGGACCAGCACTGAATAAAATTTAATTTTGAAAGGTGGCAGGAGAACTGGCATGAATGGAAATAAAATAACAAGCTCACGAGCTTATTATTTCCAATATTGATTTCTTTATGATATCTTGGTATCATCTCCCAGCCTGCAAGGGCTTCCGAGGTGAGGGACAAATAAAAACAATGAGTACGGTTTGCTTTAGGGTCGCCATCAGTCAGAAAATGACTTGAAGGCACACGACAACAAAAATACAGCCGTCCTGCCGTATCCGCAGATTCTTTCTCCACGGATTCCAGCATCCACGGCTTCAATATATTCCAAAAATATATCAATTCCAAAAAAAGCAAACCTTGATTTCCCCATTTTATCTAAGGCAGCGGTCCCCAAACTTGGTTCCTCTAGATGTTTTGGACTTCAGGTCCCAGAATTTTTGACTTTTGGCCAAACTGCCCAAGGATTCTGGGACATGAAGTGCAAAATAGATGGAGGACCAACATTTGGGAATGACTGATCTAAGGGATACACCATTTTGGAATATAGTGGAACATAGGCATCCCCGAATTCTGGTATCTGTGGGATGGTCCTGGAACCAAAACCCAGTGGATACCAAGGGCTCACTGTATAAAGATTAAAATATATTTTTTAAAAAATAGTTATTACAATACTCCTTTAGTTTAAAAAAAAAACAATCTAAAAACAATCCTAAAATACAATTTTAAAACCTCTAAAGTAGAGCAATTTCAAACTCTATGCCCACACTTGAATTATTCTAGTGTGTGTTTGCTTGGAAATGAGTTGTGATGCATGTAATGGCTGTTGTGTCCTAATGTTGTTGTTGTTGTGTGGCTTCCAGTTGTTTCTGATAGTAATCCTATCATGGGGTTTTCTGGGCAATTTTCTTCAGAAGGGATTTGCCACTTCCTTCCCCTGAGGCTGAGAGCATGTGACTTGTGGGGTCAAAGAACAAAGCATTGCATAGCAAGTTTTATTTGGCATAAGATTTCATGCAAAAAAAAGGCAATGTGCATCTGATGGACAGAGCCAGCATGGTGTAGTGGTTTTTATTATTATTATTATTATAAAGAAAAGAAAAGAAAGACATATTTAACTTGCCCTATTATACATTCTCTGGAAAACTATAGTATACCAGTTTTATATATCATAATATGCTGAAATATTGTTTTCCAAACCATTCCTTCATAGATGGCAGGTTTTTAAACATTCA